GGTGGGTTTGAACCACCAACCTCTTGTTAGCAAACATGCTTTAACCACTGCACTATATGTTTGTTGTTATGTGCCGTCAAGTTGACCCGACTCATAGTGACCCCTCCTTGGGTTTATGAGGCAGTATCACTACGGAAGTAGATTGCCCCATCTTCCTTCCGAGGAGTGGCTGGTGGATTTGAACCACCAGACTTCTGGTTAGCAGTCAAGTGCCTCAGGCATTATGCTACCAGAGCTCCTGCACTATATGTTTAAGTGGGTTATTTTCTATAGCATTATGCATCTATTTTTGTTAGCTGTTGTTAAGGCATTCATGGTGACCCTGAGCACCATGGGATCGGCCTATTGTGATCCATAGAATTTTCATTGGCTGATGGCTGATTGTCAGAAATCGATCACTAGGCCTTTCTTCTTCCACATTCATCTTAGTCTGGAAGCTCCGGTGAAACCTGCTCAGCGTCGTAGCAACATAGAATCCACCACTGACAGATGAGTAGTGGCCGTAGGTGAGGTACATTGGGTGGAGATTGAACCTGGGTTTCTAGCAGGGAAGGTGAATATTCTACCACTGAATGAACACTGCCTTCTCCATGAGTGTAGGTACCCAACAAATACCTTTCTGATTCCTTTCATCTTGCTCTATAGGATATTTTGTTTTGTTTTTCCTGTATCTTTTCCTACAGTTTAGGTGTTCTTTTTGACAAATGATATTTTATTATGTTTTTGGTGAAGTTAGGTTCCCATTCAGCAGTTTCTACACAGATTGTTCAGTGACATTGGTTACATTCTTCACAATGCATGGGGATTCATATTATTTTCTTCCTCATTATCCCTTTCCCACTAATCTAATTTCCTTGCTTCCTTACATTCTTATTTTTGTTTAAAAGTAATTGTTGACCTTTTAGTGTCATATAGGTGATTTTTTAAAGGGGGATGGTACTCAAGGGTGATATTCTTTATTGTGTGAGCCAGTCTGTTATTCAGCCAAAAGGTGATCTCAGGGACTATTTTCAGTTCATAGTTTAAAGAGTATGTCAGGGCAGTAGTCTCAGAGAGTCCTCTAGTCTCAACTGGTCCAGTCAGTCTGCTTTTTTTTTAAAAAAAAAAAAAAAAAAATTTAATTCAAGAATTGGAGCTTTGATCCTACAGGTTTTTCTCCCATTCTATCAAGATCCAACTACTGTGGCCCTGAT